AGCTATATTCTGATAAAGTGACTGAAACAATGATGTGAAGTTTCACTGCCTCTCGTAGCAAAATCACGAAAGGTTTCCCACCCATTATAATAACCTTATCTCAAGGAAGGCATGCAGGAAACTTGACAAAAGGTTTATCTAGCTGCAGTTTTAGAGAGACCTGAACTCTCTATCTAGTGTAAATATATTTTTGCCTTCTAACCATGCTAATTTTATTACAGATATTAACGACTGTCGTGGACAATGTCAGAATGGAGGATCCTGTCGGGTAAGCCATTCTTGGTTTACTTTGGTTTCCCAAAGACTTGCGACAGTAACCAAAACGTTTGAGTCTAAGCACAAATAGTTTGGAAAATAGCAATTAGGTGGTATAAATTGTCCTTTCTTTAAGTTGGGGGGAAGGCCTATGTCATGCTATAGCATGTCAAGATATGTCTGTACAACAGTAAAGGCAAAAAATATAACTGCAAGAAATGACTCATTTTCACTGCCAGTGTCACCAGTGAATGGGCTGGTTGTGCAAACTACCTTCTGTAAATGTAGGCACTCCACTGCAAAATGTGGATTAATGTGTCTTGCCTGGAAATTAAGAACATAAGGCAGGACTGGGTCTGTGTGTGTTCGTTTTTCCCCCCCTAAATATTTTTGCCTTGTTGGACATAGCAAGATGATTTTTTTTTGACTTTTTTTTTTTCCTTAATAAGACTACCTCAAGAGGGAGGAGAAACCTTTAACTGTAAACTTTTCTGTTCTTTCCCAGGACTTGGTTAATGGTTATCGGTGTATCTGTTCACCTGGCTATGCAGGAGATCACTGTGAGAAAGACATCAATGAATGTGCAAGTAACCCTTGCATGAATGGGGGTCATTGCCAGGACGAAATCAATGGATTCCAATGTCTGTGTCCCGCTGGTTTCTCAGGAAACCTCTGTCAGGTAAGAAGCCTGGGTGAAAGGCAGGCTCTCAGCCAGTGCCGTTTGTGCCGGCGCTCCGGATCTGTGCACGGAATGCCTGGAGTCCAGTGAACCATAGGATAAAGTTGTACTTGATATCGCTGTCAGTCTGCCAAGAAACTGCTTGATTAATATATATTGGGGGGGGGGAAGAAACCAACAAAACCCCTGACGGGCTGCGGAGGATTCTTTTTGTTAGAGGGGGTTTGCGTGTCCGGCTTTGCGCTCTATTAATTTTGGCTGCTCGATATCAAGAGTCTGTCTGCCCGAACAGCCGCGAGTCGAACTAAACTCCGTGTTATGAATGACTCTTTGAGAGAGCAGATAAAAAGGTCAGATTCCACAATGTCGGCCTGTCATGGTGAGGGAAAAGCTATGATAAACCTTCTGTTTCACTCAGCCTTCCCTCACTCCTTTTTCCCCCTCCCCTCTCTATTCCCCTTCCCTCTGCCTGCGCTGCTTGCAGCTGGACATAGATTACTGCGAGCCCAATCCTTGCCAGAATGGCGCCCAGTGCTTCAATCTTGCCATGGACTATTTCTGTAACTGCCCTGAGGACTATGAAGGGAAGAACTGCTCCCACCTGAAGGATCACTGCCGCACAACTCCCTGTGAAGGTTTGTGTTGCCTCGCGGGTGAATGGGAATGTCTGGCAACAGCTCCTGCCCCTCCCCTGGCTGGAGCCCTAATGCAGCTCCAGCAATGGTGTCACTGGAGTAGCTCTTGCATAAAGAGGCTGAATTTTGCCCTCTGCCTTAGGCCTTTATTTGTATGAGCAGATGAGTAATATTTGTAAATATCAGCTATTGAAAGACAGCCTTATGTCCACGTGGACAGAAAACACAGGTAGCAAACAGCCTATTCCAGGCCGTGGACGTGGTCCAGCAACCGTCAGATAAAATGTTGTGATTATTTTATGCACAGCTGGCACAGTCCTTTCATTTTAAAGCAGCAAACACATTTGGCAGTGTTAGGTTTGTGGTTGGACTCGAGGGTCTTAAAGGTCTTTTCCAACACATGTCTTCTAAACATCCGTCACTGGGAATTAAAATGTTGCCCTTAGCTTAAGGAATCGGGTCCGACGGGCAACCCTCATGCAGGTTCTGCTTTTCCACAGTAATCGACAGCTGCACCGTGGCAGTGGCTTCCAACAGCACACCCGAGGGGGTTCGCTACATTTCTTCCAACGTCTGTGGGCCTCACGGGAAGTGCAAGAGCCAAGCGGGTGGGAAATTCACCTGCGAATGCAACAAAGGATTCACCGGCACCTACTGCCATGAGAGTAAGAGCTGAAAGGAGGATATGCACTCTTTTCTGTTTGAAGAAAGATTCCATCCTTCCCTCCCAGACTGCTTTAAGGGTTCTTTATTGTAACGCAGTGAACCTCGGAACTGCTTTAAGTTTTCGTATCCCGCCTTGGGTGAGGCAGAGTGGAATTTGCTGGGCCTTGGGGAAAGTTCACAGTAATGAACCCTCTGGCCATGAATTGGATGTTTTTAAAACCTTATGTATACAAGGTCTGAGGGATTTAATAGCGGGGTTTAACGTGGATCTTAAGGACTCCTGATTTATTTTTTGTTGTTTTTAATAGTAATTGTTGAGTGATGGTTCATCACTTCATCCAGTTTTTCACCCATTTCTCATCTTGGTTATAACCCTTCCCCTCAAAAAGGTCTTAGAAATGGAAGTAGCACCAAACAGTCTGCAATAAGATGATGGCTTTCAGTAGCTGTACTCCTAGTTTGAGGTTTTTTTCCTCTTTTTTTTTTCTCCTCCCAACTGTTGCAGATATCAATGACTGTGAGAGCAACCCCTGTAAAAATGGTGGCACTTGCATCGACGGCATCAACTCCTACAAATGCATTTGCAGTGATGGATGGGAAGGAACATATTGTGAAACAAGTAAGTTATCCATTCTTCAGCACACAGAAAGATCTCTTGGGAAAACATTGGGAAGGAATGGCTGGTGCTGTCCTGAAGACAAACATGACCAGTGCCAATAAACTGCTTCAAAGGCCGTTGGGGACCAGGTGTCCTCTACTTTCCACCAAGTCAAAGATTTTGTATTATGTTGTAACTAAACCCAAGTTACAAATCTGGACTGGGAGTAGAACCTGGCCCTCCCACGGTTCAGTTTCCTGCTCTATCCTTTGGATAACATTCAGGAAGAAACCCTTTGCATTAGTAGATGCCACTTTAGGAATGGCCTGTCTGCATATCACACGTGTATTTTGTCCATCTCTGGAGCAGAGGAGGAGCAAGCACTCTGCTCCCATCCCCTGCCTAACAGGGGAGTTTATGTAATAGGCCTTTTCACTGCTTGTTTACTGAAACAAGATTACAAACAAAATGAAAACAAACAGCAGGAATGTGTTGAAACATTCTTCATCTCTGTGACAGAGCTTAAAGCTTTAAAATACTGATTTAAGTGTTTAATCCAGGATTGAAACACAGGCCAAAATTAGGGATGGGTTATGCTCCTTTCAAGCATTGTTTGTCAATTCTGTAAACAGCCCTGAGCCGGCTTTCTCTCTTTAACTTATCCAGATATTAATGACTGCAGTAAAAACCCCTGCCACAATGGAGGAACTTGCCGAGACTTGGTCAACGACTTCTTCTGCGAATGTAAAAATGGGTGGAAAGGAAAAACTTGCCACTCCCGTAAGTTCAGCATTTCCAAAACGTAACAGGCGTGCTCTGATTGGCCGCTTGAACTTGCAAAGAGCACCAGTCTTAAGGATGGTTTGGGTTTCTCACAGGCGACAGCCAGTGCGATGAGGCGACGTGCAACAACGGCGGGACGTGTTACGACGAGGGGGACACTTTCAAGTGCATGTGTCCTGCAGGATGGGAAGGAGCCACTTGTAACATAGGTAAATACCCTGCATAATCGCCAGGAAGCAGATGCAGCAGTGGATCTGTGACCTCAGTTTTTCCTCTTGGCTCGCATTCGAGGGCTTTCTAACAACTTAGCGGCGAATGTTGTTTGTGTTCCAGCGAGGAACAGCAGCTGCCTGCCAAACCCCTGCCACAACGGTGGTACCTGTGTGGTCAGCGGGGACTCTTTCACTTGTGTCTGCAAGGAGGGCTGGGAAGGACCCACATGCACTCAGAGTAAGTTGGCTCTGCTTGAACTTTTCCAGAGTGTTGCCTGATGAGAACATGAGCTCATCCTGTCGCCCTCGGAGTCGAGATTGAAACCAGAAGGGAAAGCTTGTTTGATGTAGGCTTTAGCATCACCTGAATCTTTGTTTTTAATGACTTTGTGTGATAGAGCCTTGACCTGGGCATGAGAAAGTTGCAAATCAGCTAAGTGGAGACAGATGTTGTCTTGTTTTCTCCTGCATTCTTTTTCTACGAGCAGCTCTGTCTGCTTCCACTTTTTCTTCCCCCCCCCATTAGATTCTTTACAAGGATCTCTTCCTGTGTACATGTGTTCCATAATGTAGTTAACAAATTTTGTGGTAGAAGCCTGGAATCAATTTAGTAGAGAATTTCAGCATATTTTTGTAAAAGTTGAGCTAAGTATAACGTGGGCATTAGGGGAAGTTTGATCATTCTTTACTGCCAGTAGAGCTGTATTAGCCAAAGCCTGCATTTTTAATGCTGCCTGTCTTTGCTTTGCAGACACAAACGACTGCAGTCCTCATCCTTGGTAAGTTTGCTGTGTTTATCCTTGGCTTTTTTGTTGTTGTTGTTGTTGTTTTAGAATTCTGGATTCTTTGTAGCAGTTTCTTAATGTCTGCAATGACTTTTCTCTACAGTTACAACAGTGGCACTTGTGTGGATGGAGAGAACTGGTACCGCTGTGAGTGTGCTCCAGGCTTCGCAGGGCCCGACTGCAGGATCAGTAAGTGTTCCAATGGTGCTCCACCTGGATTTTTGTCTCACTTGAATCTTGTTGCAAGACAATCATCTTAATTAGGTTAAGTGGTAGATCAGATGAGTGATAGGTGTCCTGTGCCTTTTCTATTCGTAGCAGATTTGGGGAGGGCAGGAATCACACTGAAAATGAAAGAAATTTTGAAGTCACTCAGCTGGAGCTGAAACTTCTTGGTTCAGATGAGCAGTCAAAATGCCTTCAGGATAGTTTTCCCAGTTCACATGTGTTTGTGTGACCCAGGCTTCTGCTTGAGATGAAAGTGTGCCAGCCAAAAACCTTGTCAATTAATAATCCACCTCCAAGCCCTGAGGTGATGTATGTGCTTCCCTGTAATTTAATAATAATTACAGGTAGGAGGACACTAACACTTTTTTTAATAACAGCCATGGAAATGGAAGTCTCACAGCAGCAATACAACTGGGAAGGGGTTTAACATTGTCATCAGTTGAAGAATCTAGTGGGGGACAAAACTGGAGCACATCAGAGGAGAGGAAGTGTGCCTGTGTGGGAAGGAATGTGTCCTTGCCCTTGGAAAGCTCAAGTAGCCACAGGGGTCAGGTTTTGATCTTTGCTAGTGCCACACAGCAGAAACGTCAAAGGACTTGTTTTGAGGTTACACCGGTGCTGCCAGCAGGAATCCATCTCCCAGCAGACGCTAGAAAATGAACATAAAAGCTCCAGTAGGCAAATATATCCTATGTTTGCTTTTTTCTGCCAAAACAAAAGGATGCTATTTCCTCTCCTTCCCATCACAGATATCAACGAGTGCCAGTCCTCGCCCTGCGCCTTTGGAGCGACGTGTGTGGATGAAATTAATGGGTACCGTTGCATTTGCCCCCCGGGTCGCAGTGGTCCAGGATGCCAAGAAGGTATTCCAGATGCCAGAGCTGGTCCTAATGTTTGTAGCAAGATCTGTGTAATTGCATCTTGATGGTTTTGTGGTTCTATGGGGTTGTTTTTTCGGGGCTGTTATCTGTTATTGTTTAAAGCAAATACCTTTATTGAAGAAGCAAACTTAGCGATAAGTTTAGGTGAACTTAGGAAAGGGTTTGGTAGGGTTGGTGTTTGTTTGGATTTTGTTTTTTGGGGTTTTTTTTTCACTTTTTCCCTGTTTTAAGCTTCTAATTCTTGTTCACTCTTCAGTTACAGGAAGGCCTTGCATTACCAGCGTTCGAGTAATGCCAGATGGGGCGAAGTGGGACGACGACTGCAATACCTGCCAGTGTCTGAATGGGAAAGTCACCTGTTCTAAGGTACAGCTGGGCTGTGCTTCGGGTTATACTGTTCTCTGTCCTCTAACCAGTGGGTTCTTACCAGCATTTCTTCTCTCCTAGGTGTGGTGTGGCCCTCGGCCCTGTGTCCTGCACGGCAAAGGTCACAGCGAGTGCCCCGCCGGCCACGCCTGTGTCCCCGTGCGGGACGACCACTGCTTCACCCACCCGTGTGCCGCCGTGGGCGAGTGCTGGCCCTCCAACCAGCAGCCTGTGAGGACCAAATGCAACTCAGATTCTTACTACCAGGACAACTGTGCCAACATCACCTTCACCTTCAACAAAGAAATGATGTCACCGGTGAGTAGCAGCAGCTCGCTGTGCTGTGGCACCTGTGGATTTGCTTCCCGGAGCTTGGAATGACTTTTGTCATAGGGAAAAGCACAATAAAAGGTGGCACTGTCTTTTTATCAAAGTAAACAAATCAGAGAAGGATTAATACAACCTTCCACCATAAATGCTTTTGTGTCTAGGGCAGAATGAAAGCTGGTTTTGAGGGAATTCCACCTCCTTTTCCCTCGAGAACTCTTACTTCAGGGCAGGAAAAAAAACCCAAGCAAATCTTATATCTGTGTGTTTATGTGCATATATATTTAAAAAACCCAACACCTTTTTTGTGTCCTCCAGGGCCTTACCACAGAGCATGTTTGCAGTGAATTGAGGAATCTGAATATTCTGAAGAATGTTTCTGTTGAATATTCCATCTACATTACCTGTGAGCCTTCCCACTTGGCAAATAATGAAATCCATGTTGCTATTGTAAGTATTCCTGGAATATTTTTGAATGTCTCAGTAGTAATTAGATATGTGTGCAACATGTGGATTTCATAAAAATCTTAATTCCTGGCTTTGTCAGCACTTCTTGTGGTTTAGTTTCCATCCTGATTCCCTCTAAGAACAGGGAAGGAATCCTGGTTACATGTGCATACCTGAGAGCTGCCATCTGGGGGCAACTGTAATAGGGGGAGTAAAACATTTCTGTGCTCCATTCTTGCTTTCTGGGGGGGATTTTTGGTCTTTGTAGGGATGGGGACAAAAAATATGCATTATTAGTTTCTGCCCATAGCCAGCCTTTTGGGTTGGATTTTTTTATGTGTTAAAAGCACCAAGAGCCTTAAGTGACTGTGGAAGTTTATAAATAGCAGATTCCCCCATGCATCTGCTGTGGCATTTGGTGTTAACTGTGTGCCTTGTCCTGCAGTCTGCCGAAGATATCGGGGAAGATGAAAACCCCATCAAGGACATCACAGATAAGATCATCGACCTGGTCAGTAAGCGCGACGGGAACAACACCCTCATCGCAGCGGTGGCCGAAGTCAGGGTGCAGCGGCGGCCGGTGAAGAGCAAAACAGGTGAGCTGGTCCTTGTCCCCAGACTCCTGTACCCGTGCCCTGACTAGAACAGCCCTTCCAAAGGGAAGTCTGGAGTCTCTGCTCCTTGGCCCTGTTCACTGGGATCTTTTTATTTAAGAAAACCACGAAGGTTTTGAAAATGCTCTAAAGCAGCGACCTAACCTGGTGAAGCGGTTGCCGCTCTCCTCGTGGAGAAATAAGTGAAAAAACAAGGCTTAAGAACTGAGATTGGTTTTCTTTGTAGAAAGCCTGGAGTTGGCCCCCTGGGTTCACAGCAGGACTGACCGCTCTCCTGTCTCTTCCAGATTTCCTGGTGCCGTTGCTGAGCTCGGTCCTGACAGTAGCCTGGATCTGTTGCCTGGTCACCGTGTTTTACTGGTGCATCCGGAAGCGCCGAAAGCAGAGCAGCCACACTCACACGGCCTCTGACGACAACACCACCAACAACGTGAGGGAGCAGCTGAACCAGATCAAAAACCCCATTGAGAAACACGGAGCAAACACTGTCCCCATTAAAGACTACGAAAACAAAAACTCCAAAATCGCCAAAATAAGGACACACAACTCTGAGGTGGAGGAGGATGACATGGACAAGCACCAGCAGAAGGCCAGATTTGCCAAGCAGCCAGCCTACACTTTGGTAGACAGAGATGAAAAGCCCCCCAACAGCACCCCTACAAAACACCCAAACTGGACAAATAAACAGGACAACAGAGACTTGGAAAGTGCACAAAGCCTAAATCGGATGGAGTACATCGTATAGCAGACGGTGGGGTGCTGCCATGCAGGGCCTTTAAGTATCATTATAAAGGCACTCAAGAGCTTGTAGTTCTTAAACTGTTGTGTAATATTTGAGTCTAAGGCTATTATTTACTTAGAATCCCTGTGTTAATTTAAGTTTGGACAAGCTGGCTTACACTGGCAATGATAGTTGCTGTGGTTGGCTGGAATACCAAGTGCTGCATTTCACATCTATGCAAAACTAGTCAAAAGTGCCCTCCCGTAAATTCAGCTGCAGCTGATCCATCATGGAAACGTTCCATAAGGTATTACATAGCCTTATTACTCTTCCTTAGTGTTCATTTTTTTTTTTCTTTTTCTGCCAGATGTTCCGATTTATACAGTTTCTTTAGAATAATACATTTTATTTATATTTATTGAATTTGAGTTTTTTGTATATTGGTTTTATGGTGACGTACAACTAGTTCTGTATTTGAAAGTGCCTTTGCAGCTCGGAACCACAGCAACTATCAAAAATAAGTTTATTATTTATTTTTTTATTGTATTTTTGTTGGGGGCGGGTGGGGGGAACTTGTCAGCAGTTGCTGGTAAATGAAGAATTTAAAGAGGAAAATGTGTCAAAAATAGAAGTTTGTATAGATATGTAAATAATTCTTTTTTTATTAATCACTGTGTATATTTGATTTATTAACTTAATAATCAAGAGCCTTAAAATATCATTCCTTTTTATTTATATGTATGTGTTTAGAGTTGAAGGTTTTTGATAGCATTGTAAGCTCGTGGCTTCTTTATTTTGAATTTATTTTCTTGTTACATGTTGCCTATATGCCAAAACTAAGGTGTTCTAAAATAGTTTATTTTTAATAGGATGGGCTTTCATGCCTTGATGCTGGTTTTTGTACAATGTCAAACGTTTGAAACACCTTCCATAGTATCACTTTAAGACTCTTTGTAAGTACTGACTGAGGCAGTTTAGAGAATTAGACTAGAAAATTTTTTTTGCTGCTTTAGACTTGAAAACCGAGTGACAGGCAGATAATCTGCTAAGGAGCAGTTTAAGGGAACAAAACTGAGCTATTACTTTATGTAGATGAAATGTGAGTGGTTGCATGTAATTAAAAATATCAAATTAGCGTGTGAAGTTGGAAACACAGCAATCTTATTTTGTAAATTCTAATTATTTTTTTTCTCACCATGAAATATGTAATACTGAACCACTTGTAGATTTGACTTTTTTTTGTAATCTACTGCATTTAGGGAGTATTCTAATAAGCTAGTTGTTGAATACTTGAACAGTAGAATGTCCAGTAAGATCACTGTGTAGGTTTGCCATAGATTACACTGCCCGCCTTAACAAGTGAGGAAATCAAAGTGCTATTACGATGTTTAAGATCAAAAGGCTTATAAACATAGTCATCTCGGTGGTTAACCATTGAGATCATGAAGATACCTTGTATTGTGATATTAGTGTTATATGAAAATGCATCTTTGATGTGTTGTTCCTGGCAATAAATCTTGAAAAGTAATATTTATTAAATTTTTTGTATGAAAACATAAAAGAGCGTGGAGATTATTGAGCTTGGAGGTGCTCCCGGCCACTCAGTTGTGCAAATCCAGGGGCAGGTGCTGCTGTAGGTTTTCCAAGACCTGCCCCTGCCTTTGGTGGAGTCAGTTTTTTGTGAGATGATTACATGTTCCCCTCTGGCTCCCAGTGGGATTGAAGGGGTTTGAAAGCAGCATGTCCCTCGTTCTCACTGTCTCTTGGCCAATGTCCCTCTGTGCATTCCCGAGAGGATGATGGGGTGACTGGAATTGTGCAACGAGTTTACTCTGCTCGGGCCAATGAGCTGCCCCCAGATGTAACCAAATCTAAGTAGCTAGGCAAGATCCAAAGTGCTGACCTGGATGGGAAGGGATCCATAGATCCTGCTGATTTCTGATGGGCAAAAAGTGCTTTGTAAAGCATAAAATAAACTCTTAAAATATTCAACAGGACGGCTTTGAATGCTGAACTAATGCTGCCCCTCCCACCCAAAGGGGGTGCCTGGGGAGGTGCAGGGGTTGGCTGGCTCATGGTCTGCTCTGAATTTGGCATGTTCTGATGAAGCTGCAAAGTTGTTTTGGGAAGGGGCTAAAAGCTGAGGGAACAATTAACTGTGTAACAAATTAACTGAAAAAGAGTTAAACCAACCCGCTGCGAGGTCAGGCCTTTGCATCCGTATTTGTTTGTGGTAAATAAATGGATATTTTCTACAAAGATTGCTGCAATATGAATACAATGAACGCCGACAAAATCTGACACTGAGAAATACTTTGTTATGTACCTTCTTTACAGCTGTCTAAAAAAAATGATAAAATCTAATTAGTGTTACTTTTTATTTTAAACTCACTTCAGAAGGAGGTTTCCACCGTGGCTGTGCTACCTTGGTGGGGGGGCTGCTCTTACTCTTCCCAATCACATGCCCAGAGCCTTGTCAGTGTAGTGCCTGCTGAATGGGAAGTCAACAAGATTAGCTTCATCTGACCACTTCAATAATTCCCCATCAAACAAATCCCACAAGTATTTATTTCCCTTTGTTCCCTGGCTTCTAAATCTGCAGTAAAGCAAACACGGCGTGTCCAAAAAAAGCCACTTCAAGATGATGGAATCTTCACCTGCCTCCAAAGTGCAAAGCCAGGCTAGTCCCTGAATGCTTTCCCATGCTTTTAACGTTGAATTAACCATCACCCTGATGTCTGCTGTTCGTGTGGGTCTCAAATTCAGTGACACAGAAACAACCACCTCCTTCCAAATGGCTGAAACATACCTGAATTGGTAGGAATTTGAACCTGCCTTCCATTAAGCAAAAAATAATTTAAAAAAATAGAGCATTTGCAATTCCTTGGAACCTGCATTTGCCAGGCTTCTTCAAAACCTACCGAGGCAAATTCTAATCACAGACTTAATCGTTGCACATAGTGACAAAGCTCTTTAGGTCTCTGAAGACTCAGTGAAAGAAAAACCTGAGTTCCTCAAGCTTCAAAATAAGTCAGAGCCCTGAGCACAGTGTTCATTTATTTACTTCCAGCCTTTCCTGTGCTCCAAAGTGCTCTATGGATCAGGCAGAGGGTTTGTTACTGCAGAGCTCCTCCACACACAACTTGCTTTTCCCACAGAGCTCATTTCATTGCTACCTCATGGCCTTAGAAAATTAGAACTGCACGAGCTGTACAGAGGGAGGGAAGAAAATTCTGTGCAATTGCTGTAATGGTATTTATTAATTAATCCTCATATCTCAATGGTAGCTCCAAAACTTGCACTGGTGAATGTAACACAAAACCAGTCCTCCAAAGGCCAGATCCACCACCACGCTGGGGGCTGGTCTAGGAAGTGGTTTCCGTTGCCATGAAAATAAATAGAAACATGAAGTTTAAGGCTTCCCCGTTAGAATACCAAGGCACACTTATTTTTGTGGAAATCATTCTTTGCCAGTTCATACTTTACTACTCAGGGAAGACACATTCTGTCTAGTCAGGAGAAGTTTCCCACTGCTACTGTTTGTTCTTTGGATCCTTCTTCATTTAAGGACTGAAAAATATGTCTTTCCTCAGCTGCCAGTTAGGCACTGAAATAAAATAAATTAAATAAAATAAAATTACTCCCCTTAGCACACTCAGCTTTGCTCTACCTACAGCTAATTGGACGTGCCAGATCTGGGTTTGGTTCAGCTCAAGCACGGCCACATCAAAGCTCTGCACCTCCGCATGGAAAGGGCCCGTCTTACGTAGAGGTAACTGGGAAGGGTGCTGATGGTGCATGTTACATCAGCCTGAATGCCAATATATTCCTGTCACCGGGGGAACACCAGCCTTGGGAACGGCTCCCTCTGCACTACTAACAGGAGCCAAGGGCAGCCAAGAGCACTGGGACATCTGAAGCCTCAAATGTGAACCAGTTTGGGCCCCAAACACGAGACCCGCACCTTCAAGCCATGGCGCTGATGAAGCCGTTTTCCCTTCCACAGACACACCAGCTGCACACCAAGAGTTCAGGTTATTAAACAGCTCCCTGCCAAGCTAGGAAAGGTACAGGGTTATGCTCTGAATGCAGGCTGAATCCAGCCCTGCCTCCCCAGCTCTCTGGGGCCCAGAGCACTGCCCCTGCCATCTGCAGAGTCACAAGGCAGAGCCTTCATGGTTTTGGGAGTGCATGCAAAGATGAGAAGTTCTGACAAGGGAAGTACCAAATTCAGCCTTTTCCGCCCCAGAAGATGGAAGTGATTGCGTAACCTCCCCCTCTCCTCCTAAAGGAAGCAAGAATATTTAAGTATATTTAAGATTTTTTTGGCTTCCCCTTTTTTCATGATTATTGTTTGCCCGTGCACACAGAGTTTGCCTGCAAAGGTCAGTGATTGCTCCAAAAGAGGGGAAAACAGGAAAATAACCATGCAACGATTAATTCCAGTTTGTGGGGGAGAGGAGGAGGAAAGGGGTGCAGGATCTGAATGGTTCAGCAGCTGCTTCCCCAGCACTGGGGCAGCAGCAGAGCCATGTGGGATCAGACATGGGCGTCAGACCAGAGCTCCAGCCCAGATCTGCCAGTGAGCACCTTCCCTGTGATGTGCAAATTGTTTCAACCAGTTTCTCTACAGGGTGGAGAAATAAATCTCTATTCCTTTTATTCCAGAGCTGTGAGATCATATTAATATTAAAAAGGGGCATGCCCGGCTCTAGAATGAGAGCTTAAGACACTTTTCTTTAAAGATCTGATGCATAAATAAAAAAGATAATTATGGTGGCAGCACGTAAAGCAGTTATGGAGCTCTAGAGCACCAATTCCTATTGCTGTACTAAAGAATTTAACTCGAACAGAATGGGAACAAATCACTGAAATCCTCACAAGGTGCACTGTCAGCTCTCACAGGAACAGATCCCCAGCTCTGGAATAATTTATGTGGATAGTAAAGAAGGTAGGACAGTTGTGGTTAATTCCCTGGGCAATTTCCAGGTTACAGCTGACATCCCCTGTGACACTACATCATTTCCACAACTCTTTTAGGATTTCTCAGCAAAAGCCAACACCAAACAAAAGGTCCCCATCTAAAAACGTCACCTTATTGCCACCGTGGAAAGGACAAGGCCACACACTATCAGGTTCCATTTTAATTATCTGGAGGAAAAAAGGTGGACAGAAACACTTGAATGCGTTGACTCAAGAATTTGCAGTACAAGTTCCTTACCCAGCTGGCTTTCCCTTGGAAAACTTCCCTCAGTGCTGCCCCAGCCATCAGGATAAGCACATGCGCCTCCCTCTCAGTTCAGCTGCTTTGATATCCCTCTGATGAAAGGCTCCTGTGCTGCTCTTCCCCCAGCCCACATCTTCTCCTTCACACAGGTGAGGGGAAGCCAGTTAGTGCTCATTAGAGAAGAAAAAAAAAAGCACAAAGCAAAGAAGTGAGGAGTGCCTTTTATTAAAGCTAATTTCTGAGGCCAACCCACACTTCCCACTGCTGGCAAAGAGACTCGGCGTTATTGCCTCTGTTTGCTGCAGCCTGTTTGAATACAGAACAAAACCTCTCACTGGTACTGATACAGCCAGGAGATAACTATTCATAACATGCAATCTGGGAAAGTCTATATTTTACATCTTTCTTATTCCCACTGCAAACAGAAAAATATTTCCTCTGTTATTTTTTTCTTTAGAAAGAACCCATTTTCCAGTCAAAAACCAATGGGATGAAAATGTCAATTAAATCTCAGCCAAGGCAAGGGAGAAGGAACTCCCTGACCAAATAAATGGCTCCTTAACACCTCGCTTGGACAAAACCTTCTGCAGCAAGGAAAGTTTGGGTTCTTACCTGGCAGATAACACCATAATTAACACAAAGCTTAGTGCTCACAATAACTCTTAGGATGCTTTAAACCTTCCTATGGATCAACACTGGGCAAGGGAGATTTTACATCAGCTGCTTCCTCTTTATAAATGATTACGTAAAAGGCTGGTCTAGCTTTTGATGTGTGTTTAAACACAAAAGTTCACTAAACAAATATTTTTAACTCCTTTGATGTAAAGAATAATGGAAACAATCGTCTGCACCCATAGAAAGTGTTTCTCTAGGAAAGGGCTGTTTCACTATCAGCAAAGAGCACAGACCAAATGAACCAGATGATTCATCAAAAATAAAAACCCACCAAAGCTGGCTGGTTTGAGAGAAAAAACTGAACCAAAGATACTGTTTCTGTGCTTCAGTGGCAGTTTCAGAACAGAAGAGAGCCTTGAACATTCCTTACTTTTAACAGAAAGGTGTGCTCGTGCTGCTCAGAAGCAAACTGGTAATAGAAAACCACAGCCAAGATTTGGAAACAGCTCAGTTTCCAGCTTCTTTTTTCTCCCTAAACCTGATTTAGGAAATCAGGTCTGTGGTTCAAAAGCATGTCAGACCACACCTCTGCCAGTCCTCTGGGTGCAGCTGGTAAAGCAAAGTCTGAGAAGAGACCCTGGGCTTAAAATAAAGAGATAACAGGCATGACAATGACACAGCCCGAGTGTCCCAGCACCACCCAAAGCACCCACCAGGTTTGCAAAAGGGAAGCTGTTACAAAAGTCCTGTTGCACAGACAACAGAAACAACAGTTTTGAGCAGCGACACCACCTAAAATCCAGAAATGACCATCGATTCAAAGCTTTTTCCCTGAATAACTGCATTTCTGAGAGGATCCAAGACACGACTTTTTCAAGGAATGAAGCTCTAAATACACAGCTCCAAAGAGCCTCGAACCCAGTGAGTCAGTGAGGGCAGCAGAAATGGTGCAACTTGGCACTTGTGAGAAAGTTTGATGTATCCAAGCCCCCTATAATGTATGGTATTCCTTTGTAAGGGTGCAGGCAGGTATCTTATCCAGTTAAGATTACAAATAAATTGTAATTATAAGGTTAAACCACATTTAATAACATTAGGAGATAATAAAAACTACATGTGGTTGCCCTCTGGTTTCTGACACTTGAATTATCTATGCTAAAACTTTAATATAAACTATCCAACTATTTTAATTACTCTTATTTTTCTGATAAATACTTCATTAAATGTCCTTATACCTCTCTCAAGTCCATCAAAAAGGTGCTTTTTACTCCCTTCCTGGCCCAGTATCTCCAGTCCATAAAAAAGACAACAGTAAACATACCTCAAGCTCTTCTTCCTCCAAACCAGGTTTTTGGCAGCCTTGGTTTTGCTGTTACTAGGAAAGATCTCTTAGCAGAGCCTGAAGCTGGGTAAGGATTAGCAACCTGACTGCAAAGCACCGAGAAACATCACACAAACGGCTGAAAGAAAAAAGAGAACACGTCCTCTAGACAGATGCAGAATCTTTCTCTCTTTACAGCAAGAGCAGACATTATTTCTTGTAGAAGGAAGCTGTACAATCAACAGTGCCTTGCTGTCAACTGCTGAGCTGCCAGCTCTCATGAGGACCGGTGTTACACCACCAGCTCTAATGCTCATGGATGTGAATCATCTTCTTAACCCCAATGAGGAGATCCACAGTCCTAAGGAAATGGCAGTGAGATTTTTCTAAATTGCTTCAGATAAAATCACAGAATCGTAGAATATGCTGAGTGGGAAGGGATCCACAAGGATCATCAAAGACAGCCCCAAGAATCCCCCTCTGTGCCTGAGAGCATTGTCCAAACGCTTCTTGAACTCAGACAGGGGCCCACGACCACTTCTCTGGGGAGCCTGTTCCAGTGCCCAACCACCCTCTGGGGGAAGAACCTTTTCTTAACACTCATCCTAAACCTCCCCTGATAGAGTTTCATGCCACTCCCTGGTCCCCACAGAGCAGAGATCAGTGCCTGTCCCTCCTCTTCCCTCACGAGGAAGTTATAACTGCAGTGAGGTCTCCCCTCATCTCCTCTTCACCTCCTCACCTCCTCTTCACCAAGTGCCCTCAGCTGCCCCCCACATGACTTCCCCTCAAGGCCCTTCACCGCCGCCATGACCCTCCTTTGGACACTCTCTAATAGCTTAATATCTTTTTATATATTGTAGCACCCCAAACTGGCACAATATTCAAGGTGAGGCCACCCCAGTGCAGAGCAGAGCAGGACAATCCCCTCCTTGCCCAGTGATGCTCTGCCTGATGCCCCCCAGGACACGGTTGCCCCTCCTGACTACCAGGGCACTGCTGACTCAGTGTCCGTGGTCACGCTCATTTTAAGAGAATTATGAAAGAAAATTGCTCATAAATTTTATTTTACACATTTATAAAAGACAGATATGAAATAAAGTTACGTTTCCTTAGCTCATTAGCATATAAATTTAAAAAGCAGCATGAAAAGGCACCGTGCAATGAAAAATGACCTCTGTCTTAAAGTAAGAACTAACTGGGCTATCACTAACACATGAAAACCACAATGTTGTCCTTGCATTAAACAGGGCCTGATTTTGAAAAATAAATGCATGTCCATATGTTTATGTCTGAACTTCACCCCAGAGCAATGTTTGCACACCCAGGTGTAACTATATAAATCTAACTACATAAACCCAACCTTCACCTTTCCAAAGACTGAATGCATGATCACTTGTACCCACAAGGTGGGCTAGAAATAAATAAATGTTCATATCAAAACTGCACAAGCAGAAAACTGCAGTTATTTTGAAACCTGGCTGAAAAGGTGGACCTCAAATTATCAGCTATTAATCCTGGTTAAAGATTTATTTGAAATAAGCTCAATTTGCCTTATTGATGTAAAGATCGTGTGAATAAACCATGAACTTTCTAGCACAAAAGATTAATTTTTAGTAAAATAAACTATGTGTTCAGAAACAAGCAAAACACTGAATAACTGCAGCTGCTAACAGACCAGGAAAGGGGTTTTATTTTGCTGCCATCAGCTGATATGACTTTCTAATAACACTGAAACATACCCAGAACTAAAATTTTGCTTAGTAAATATTGAGATTTTTCTTTCTATAAATATGACACTGGTTCATGCAATATTAATATCTAATTTGTAAAGACTTCAAAGGATTATCCTCATTATGGTTCCAAATGACTAACATACTTAGTTAACTAAAATTTCTTAAAATGTCCTCTCTAATTTTGATTTCATATTTTTATGATTTTCCATAATTTTGAATTGCTTCCTACTTTTTGCTTACACACAGATTTGGGTGACCACTTGTGCCACCAAGGTAATACTCCAGATTTTATGACTTCTTAAGCCTTCGAAGTTTTAACTTCCTGAGACCATTTTCAGCTTCTTTTTTTCTTTTTTGGGGAAGCTTCTCTGAAGACACAGCTTGCAGTTCTAGACTCGGTGATGGCATCGCAGGCAATCCCTCAGTGGCTGTGCTTGGCTCGTGTTGGCTTGTCTGCACTCTACTGTTCCTCACAGAAAGAGGCTGAGAGGGTTCTTCTGTCCAAGTCAATGATTGCTTGTCAGCTGCAATCTTTGCCCTGTCTTGCTTAGAAAACAACCTGGGATTACGGGGGGTCTTCTCCCCCAGGAACGGACCCAAACAATCAGCATTGCACTTACTCATTTCTGGATGGACAGAAATTAAGGGAGTCCCTTCAGAGGGCACTTTTTTGCATTGCTCTAACTTCTCCTCTGAACCACAGCTCTTTAGTTGAGCCTGTGTTTTGGTCACTTTTTGGCTTTGTTTTGGACCCAGCAGTGCTGACTCAGAGCTGCAAGGAGGGTTCTCACTTAGAAGACTCGACTCCAACCACTCCAGAGCGTGAGGTTTTTGCTGGCTGCTAACATCATCTGCCTGTCTCTGATTAACATAATTTTCCAGCTCTAAAACAGGAAGCTCCAAGCTGCTCCCAGCTGTATTTGTGCAGTCCTTCAGCAGGCCTGGACTGCGACGTTTCACATCAGAGCGAGGACTGAGAGCAGTCTGACAGTCGCTCTTTCTGTTCTCTGCCTGCGAGTCCACCGAGCCAAGATACACTTTCTTGGAGCCCTTGCTGATTTGAGGTTGGCTTGCACTACTCTTCCTTGTTTTTGTCCTTTTCACACTGCAATAAAAAGGAATTTTGTTTTTTAAATTAAAAAAAAAAAGAATCTTCGCTGCCTCACTTTGCCCTTCTTGCAAACCCTGGAACACCACTAGGGCCACCCTCTTTCTGAACATGGGAAAAATCCCTGTATATCATCTTGACAAGCAGCAATGTTTGTCTAGTGTGCATAATATCAAGTGTTATCCATCTGATTTTCCACTGCACTAGGGGAGAACCCTATTTATTAATGACTAAGCCATGAAGGAGTGAGTTCACATTCTATTCCAAGAGGCAGAACTGGATTCATTACAGATGTTAAAGGTCAACACAGCATAAGTATATTGAATTCCTTCCTGAACTGGCTTGATAAAATAGCATTTCATAAGTGCCTAAATGATTCCAAACCATTCCCATACATCCACATGCATAATGTATAGCTACAGGACAGAGGGGGCTGGCAGGGAGAGGCACTGAGTGTGTCTCTGTGTGAGAGCTTCTAATCTCTATTTTAGAATGTTCCTCTGGAATTTTTCCCAGGCCATTTCAAAGCGTTACTTCGGAGTTAACCACTACTCATCTGGTATCAAGGTCGCTCATCTGGGAAGGACTTAGTTAATGCAAGTAGATGATATTCTAAAAGGAATTATACAGGAAAATGGGATCACAAGGGACCTGATGGAGTGTCAGTACATAAGCACCCCTTGGCAGTGTGTTACCCACAAACCCAGATTTCACACAGGCCATAAGATCAACTTTAAGCCCAAGCACTGAGGCTGCATTTTGAGTCTAAAAATGTCACTTTAACTGTGACCAATGGTCCAGTTTCTCAAAATGAACAAAACAATACATCTGCAAAGTGTTTTTCACCAGATTCAAGCATCACATATTTATTTTGGCTCAGAGCTTCATTCAAGGAAAAAAACAGCCTGTTTTGATTCTGCCCAGCGCTATGTGAGATATCTATGTGGGTTGTAAGAGCTTTCTCCATGCTGTAAAAACTGCAACAATCATTTTATGTGCTTATCCCCACTAGAGTAGTAGTCTCTTGGTAATTTAAAACAATCTTTTTGTAAAACAGTTTGTATTATTTGAAATTTTATTACATAGGCTAGATCCTACCAACCCAAATTTTACCCATTATAAATTCAAAAGCTTAGAAAGAATAGTGACATACATTCTTTTCAGGATGTCTTGCTTTATTTGTTCATTCAGACTGATCTTAAGCTCCTTGTTCTCAGTAGATTCAGTAAAATATTCAGATGCCCCACTGGAAAGTTCTTCTTTCTGCTCCAAAAGAAAACACAGGTTTAAAACATGACACATCAAGCTATGATTATTCAACAGAAAACTCCACTTCTAATACTAAGACTTACAGCTGTTCTTTATTATTTTGATCTGAGCAGTCTAAGAGAAACAATTATTTTTAATCTTTTAATATTTGGGAGTCTAGTCAGCTCCCTCCCCTTTCAGACTCCCGACCAACATATTTCATATGCTAAAATACACCACAAACAAACAGGACTGCAATGTAAAGGATGGAGCTTTCCAAACCAGCCTGAGGAAACTGCTGGCAAATATTTGACATCTTTGTGGCTCAAACTGTGACAAATGCCAGGAATCTCTCTTGCAGACAGGAGCATGTTTGTCAGTCAGATTTTTTTCTGAAGAGACTGACTGGCGCAGTGGTCTCTACGCTTATTCTCCGAGGAATTCCCAGAGCTTTCCATACTTAGGAAAAACACACAGAGTGGTATTCGCTCCCTGAAGAAGGCAAGGGTTAAAACTTTTAATTCTAACATTTAAACTCCCAGATTGTAGTGGTTGGCTACTACAGGACAACAGGGGAATTCTTTCTGGTCTCAGCTAACAGCAGCACCATGGTTTTACATAATACGAGGTTGGGGCGAGCGGGAGGGAAGGAAAATGCTCTTTTTCTTCAAGCTGTGAGCATTTCCTTTCACAATGAAACAATCTCCATCAGAGAAAGGCCATTTGCTGACTTCACTATTAACTACCACATACTCCAAAAAAGTATTATCTCCCAGGCTATGGAGGAGAGGGGAAAAAAAGTGGTAAAGGCAAGAAGAGAAGAGGCTTTGTGCATCTCCTTGGCTTTGACAGCACTTTTCTCCATCAGCCTGAATGAGGCAGCCTCTGACAGGGGCTCAGCAAACACAGGGAGGGCTTATTTAGCCCATTCCTTGCTCTGTGCCATGAAAAGAACACACTGGAACCAGGTGGTATGGAAGAACCTGTGGAGGCACAAAGCCAAAGCCTGTACACCACTCCTGCCTGGAAAATGCCTCAAGGAACCTGTCACTTAGGGGAGATTAAGCCCTGCCCATTTTTATTTCTGTTTTAAAGGAGATGGGGGAAACCTCCATGCTCTTTCCAGAAGAAATAGCCAGTGAAAACAGCTTCCTCTTTTGTAAACAGGAGGGTAGTCAGGCAAAGAAATAAAGTCATTTCGGCACTTAAAACTACAGCTGTTCCGAGGCTCCTTTCAGAGGCAAATCACGAAAATGTGTGCGTGTGTATTGAGAGCTGCATCAAGTGCTGTCCACTAATGGTGCAAGGAGTGTGTTTACAGCAGGCAGAAAACGCATGGGACTTACCTGCAACGTGATTTCAACCCCAGAAATCAAGCTTAACTAGTTTAATCTGAGGCATTAATTGCTGCTTCTATTCTTGTTACAGGTAGATTCCCCTAATTTGACTAAATACGTTTTTGTACTTTGTAAACTATTAAAGACTGGAATATTATTAAGATACTCAAGAGTTTTGCTAATTTGAAGACAGACTGCAAAGCCTGAAGAAACTATTCTGATTTCCAGTAACAGTCACACAACTTGGACTGAAGGCTCTTGCACAATCCTCCTGCATCAAAGCAGCTGGAGAGCACCGACACTTGGACAGGGAGCAGGAGCCCAGGCAGAAGCATTTGAGTTTCTGCTGTAAGGTGAATTCTGTTAAACCTTCTTCAGTCCTCAACACAGCCAACTGTGCCAGGATCCCCAGCCCACTAAGGGAATCCTTGCACATGTGGAAAGTGGCACTTGCTCCAAAGCCCAGGGGAGAACTGGGGGCAATTCCTGTCCACACTCACTCCTGCAGATCAGCAACAAACCTCGGTTCTAACTTGTATCTGATCTGAAGCAGAGTGGGAAGAGCAGACCCTGGAGACAGGCAAAGGTGACCAAGTCTTTAACCTGTGAGTTAAGTCAGGCTGGAGTGAACACTCCAGAGGTGAAGGACTAACACATTCCCTCACCATGCTATCATCAACCTTCTGTTTTGCTTTCAAATACCTTATCGCACAAAGCGGTGACAGAAAAGGGTTAAGGCATCAAAAAAAATTAAAAATCAGAATGATTTATATGTGAAACACTTCTGAACATGCCCTCTAAGTACAGTAGATTTTCCCCTCGGAACCACACCCTGTAAGTGCTGTATTTTGAGAGCTGAACAATTAACATAAGGCATATGAGTCAGTCTTTGAAAGACTCTGTGGGAACCAGAGAGCCTTTTGCTATTAGGAGTGATGTAAACTCCCTAAGGCTGGAATAAGTCCACAATAGAAGGCAGAGAGAGTCATAAATAACAACAATGGGCACTCCATATACTACTAAGACACTCAGCCATTATTGGTGATACTTCCTTTATTTTCTTTATTAGACTTAATAATTTTAGTTAATTAAAAAAAGAAAAAAATCTCTCTCTGTTTTGGGAATACTATTTATTTCCTATGGGAACTTCAGGACTTGTTAAAGAAATAAAAAAAAGCTAATCTGCTCTCATCCTGTCTAGTAATCCCAAATTCCTTTTAGGCAGTGAAATAATTAAAGAAAAATATTCCAGGCATAAAAGGGAGGACAGCAGAAGCAGACATCATATAAACAATGACACCATGACAGAGAAAAACGTCAAAGCACCGCCAGACTTGCGACTCGACTCTGAAAGAGCTGCAGGGAGTGGGATTGCTGCTAACAAATTAAAACCACATTTCTTGGCAAATTGTTAAAGACAGACATATTTACATTTGTATAGAGACTGGGTGGGCACAAAAGATTAAAATGCTTCTCTAGCCCTTGAACTGCCAAGTTCTATTAGAAATACGTGCTCTTAAAACCCCGGGGTAAGCTCGCTCCTTTTTGTCACTAAAACTCGGCAGAGAAGGGCCTGCAGAAGTGAGGCTGACCAAGTCTTACCAGCCATCCTGCTCATAACACTGGCCTCCCCAAACCTGATTTTTAAGATCCTTAGCACTTATCCAAAGAGAAGTCTGGGAGGAAAAACCCTGTATCGAGACCTAGAGAGAAACACGTCTGTTAGGCACACAACATACTTCATTTAAGGTTTATCAAACTGAAAATTCTTTTTCTTTTTTTTTTTTTTGGCTATCTCACTCAACTTACTACTCACTCACATTGAAAAAGAAATTCTCAAAAACGTAAAAGGGGTCACTGCCATCTCCAGCTCTCTCCAGGGCAGTTGAATTCAGCATTAAATACCTGTTAAAGAACTCCTCACGGATGGGCACTTGTGAGGAACCCTCACAACTCACTACCCTGAAGAAGAGTGAAAGGTTTTGGCCTTTTCAGCCTGACAATAAACTCATACAAATACTGATTATTTTTTTTTTCCAGTCTAAGGCTGGGTTGAAAGCAAACCTTCCAAACTGAACAATGCTGCCCCCCTTTCCTGCCTTCTCATTTGGTGTCATACTTTCTAGTTGTCTCTTACTCTTCTCAGTGGCACACACTTCTGTAGCAATGAAGTAACACTAAGGGATAAATAAATTTAATGTCTGGTTAACCAAAAAAAAACCCCAAAACAAACTACACTGTTTTTAAAACGCATTTATCAATGTGGCTCATCAAAAATACTCGGTAGAAAACATCAATGGGTTCAAGAAATCAAATTTTGTATCAGAGTGGCAAATGGGAGGGGACTATAAATGTAATAATGTAGACAAAATTATGAACTGAAGTATTATCCCAGGCACACACAGTAAAACTAAAATCAGTGAAATTAATAAGACAGAAACCCTTATTTAGGGGAGCTTTATGGAAGCTGGCAATTGCATGATTTCTTTAATGCCACTCTAAGCCATAGCCAGAGCTCCCCCATCAAAGATAACCTTTAGGTTTCAGAGGTGTCCTAACAGATGACTGGCAGATCAGAGAGGTCAGACAGGACTCCTGCCAATCTGATAAGCAAAAAAGGGCTCCTAAAGCAAGTGAGGAGGCTTGTGAGTGAAGGATGAATCAGATACTCTAATCTAACTGATAAAAAAGTGACAGAGACAGGACTTTGGGTCTCGTCTCCTGCCCTCTCCCATCCCACATGAAGGAAAAGCTTCCCACAGTTTCACAATGCAAATTTTTTGCATTTCCAATGTAGTGATGCATCTGTCCTGGCAGATGAACTGCAACCACATCATAAAACATTCACACAAGTTTTCCAAGTACAGAAATGGATCCTATTTTGAACCTGAAATCCAGTTCTTTGATCGGACTTGTGGAATATTGCTCTGCATTTTAAAGTTGACCGTCCTGCTCTAAATGTCAGTAAGTTCCCGTAAAAACCATGAAGGATCATTCCATGTTACACACTGGAGTACTTAGTTTTTTTCTTTGAAATAGGTATTTTTAAGGAATGCTGGTGGTTTTCAAAAATTCTCCAATTTCAATCTGGAAAAGAATGTAACAAGCAGAGCAAACTGCATTTCTCTGGAGGAGCAGAACTATTCAACTTACCCATGGCCTAGCATAGAAAGCAAAATCAAACTCCTGGATCCGTGCAGTCCTCATTATCTACTACCAGATTTCATTTGAATTAAGTTTTTGCTTGTCTGCACTGTTTAGTCCAAGGGTTGGCCCCATCTGTTACAAGCCCCTGTGATACACATTCCACTTTCTCAACCTACAAGGTGTGAACCCAAGTTTCTCACTTGATACATAAGTCCTGGCAACTCTAAACATTCCAAAGGTCCCCAAAGCATCATCAGATTAGCTCAAAGCATGTGACTTCTATGAGAAAAATGCCTCCTTCCTTTTGAAGTATTTGGTTCAGATTTTAATTGTATATTACATACAGCAGGAATCCCACACTACCCTGAATGTAAGAAATTCAGAGTTCTCTAGATTTGCATTTGAGCAGTTGCAAGAGAATAGAAAATAGAAAAATTCCTGCTGTAAATGGCATAGAACAAACAAAATCTGATACTCCACAAAACCTAAAGCTGCAGGGGGGGCCTTTTTAAAAAATCAGACCTATCTGTA